GGGCGGGAACTAGTGGAGGAAATAAATCCGCGGCTACATAGTATTGCCGATCAAACACCCGAAACATCCCTACACGCTCGCTCTTGTAAACCCTCCCGTTGACGTTCACCGCAGCGTAATACGTGTTGCAACCGTACCCGACGGGTCGAAGGGAAGCTGCTGTGCTTTTTACTTGCCATCCTGGAGCGTGAGGCTAGCGAACAGTATGGTAACAGATGTGTTTCGTCTGAGCGGTGCCCAAGGACACTCTTCCGACACCGTCCCCTCTACTGAGCGGTTGGCCAATATGAGCCTCAGGGGGGGACACCTGGACAATCCCCCTCCTCTCGATCTTGGTCGTTTCATGTACTTTACATGTTATGCCGGTGAGGTTTCCGACTGCTCTCGCAAATAATAACATGCACAACCACCAAAAACCGCGTCTAAGGCACGCAACCTGATCATACCATGCCGTACGTACACGTGCTTGACGGTGCCGAGGCAAAAGATGGTGCACGAGAGCCACGTCAACGCGATCGTCTACGACTCGAGGAACAGCCGCCTGTACAGCGGGGACGGCGCGGGCGTCATCGTTGTGTGGCGCAGGGGCGGGGGCGGCCAGGGGGGAGTGGAGGACTACGGCATCCTCCGGAAGGTGCAGCACGCGGACCTGATCGGGAAGGCCATCACGAGCCTTGCCCTCGCCCCGCGCCTGCGGAGGGGGCAGTTGCTGGTGCAGGCGCACGGAAACACGCTGCGTCTGCTGGACCTGGGCACTTACCGGGTGATGAGGATGGGCAACCCTGACCTTGGCTCCAATGTAGACAGACTACCATCGCTTTTCGCTATCACCATCATCACTTCGAACGACGTCAGTATCAGAGTCTACCTCCCTGATCGCAATGGATGCAACGCACTCTAAAGCACCCCGGGTGCTCGATAGCTCTTGCTATTAGTCCTCGGATCCCTATGGCGATCTTCCCCCCCCCCCCCCGCTCAATGGGCTATGGATATCCTCGCCACGCGAGCTGGTATCGTAAAGGAAAATATATATGTATCGTGTCCCTGGCAGGTGGACAATCACCGGGAGTATCAAACACATTTGCAGCAGAGATCATTACGAGTAAGAACGGTGATGCTCTGCCTCGAGTGGGGTGTTCAGCCAGCGATCGAAGGACTGAGGCAAGCAACAAGCGTGCGCCAAATGTCACCTCGTCATGCACGTCACCACCTTACATACCAACGAAAAACAAAAATTACTGCAAGTCTTTGTATCGTCATCATGTGCGTCGACGGCCCAGGGTTTTTAGTTTAGATGCGAGATAAACCAACAACTCTCGATAACAGTGCGTGTTCCGATCCCTGTCCTGTTTGATCGCCACACCAACGAGCTATATTGCTATTCTTAGACGTGTCTGACTTGACTTCCTCCCCACCACTTCTTTTGCCGCCACATACACATCTCAAAAGTTGGTGAATCCCGGGTTTGCCGGCGGGGCCACGGCCGAGTCGCTGATCCGGGCGTCCTTCAGTCCCGATGGGCGCTTCGTTGTATCGGGGTCCGAAACGGGGCGGGTTCGAGTGTGGGAGGCTCAGGAGGGCAAGCGGGTCAAAACTCCTTTGCAGGTGAGCGAAGAACCATGCCGTGTGGCCTACGCGTCCTATCAGCAACCCGTCCGCGAGGACTCTTGACCACCAATGACGGCCGTTGGGCGGACAGAGGTCTATGCGCCGTCGTAGATCGAGGTATGGTCGTGATGGGCTGGCTGCCCATGCGCTAGGGTCCAGGCTTTGGTTGGAACTACTACACCTCAGGAAGAGGAAATGTGGCGGGACTGCGCCACACGTGAGCGAAACATTTCACTACCGGCCCTTGTGCGGGTGCACATATGAGGCTGGTATCATGACCCCCTGCGGTGAACACCCCCCCCCGTCCCCATAGGCAGTTACCCAGTGCTTATAACTGTCTCTGGAAGTGAAAGCACCAGATAGTAAATTAAGTCATACGTAGCTGTCATCCGTACGCAAGGAAGTAAGCACAAGATGCCGAACACCCTTAGCAGGATGCAGCTCACCCTTCATGCGACTCGCCGAATATCTCACGGCGCTTCGCGCTTGGTGATGTGAGAGCCTGGTCCGGTGAGAACCCGGCGTGCTCCGTCCCGGCTTTGTAGGGATGCGAGGTCAATGGTCTAACGACTACGGCATGCACGACTATGAGTACACCCCTCCCCCGTCCCCATACATGAACATGTTGAAAACCTTTCACTATTATCCCGGGTGATGCTTGGGTGGGATCGGTGAAACCGCCGGGCAGTACGCGTGACAAACAACACGGGTGTGTAGTCACGTGTACACACTCCAACTATTATAGAGTATCATCTGGGGTTCAACCCTCGTCGGCAGGTTACGGATAGTGCTAACAAAGGTGCTCCAGAAAAAGTGAAAATCCGTTTGTTTCAATCCGAGTTTTCTGCATCGGGAGTCGCGTAGAACCGGAGTTCTACTACGAGAAAACTATGGCTGCATAGCCGATAATGTACATTGGCGGTACTATGGCGTAGAACGGGCTGAGGTAGGCATGAAGACGGCAGGGGCAACGGTTGCGATGAATACCCCGAGGCGTTGATCGAGCAAAGACCAAGTTCCTATCTGTGCAACTTAGTGTGACACCAATTCCTCCCAATCAACGCGCGATTCGGCGACAATAAGCACTCGCGGCAGTCCACCATCAACGCTCTCTGTTTTGGTGCTCATTTATTACAAACCTTGCTGCCTCCCAGTGCACCCCCTGTACTATCCACACCCATGGTGCTTGTTGATCCGCCTCTCCTGCCCTACTCTCCCGCTTGTTGTTGTGCCCGCCAGACTCTCGGCACGGCGTGCTGCCTGCGTGGCGTCGCGTGGCACCCGGACCAACACGTGGTGGCCCTGGCGGGGTATGGTCAAGATGCACCCGTTCTGCTCTACTGTGGCGAGGCGAGAGCCGACAAGCAGGCCAAGGTACGAAATGCAGGTTGTTCACGCTTGATTATGTTCACCTTCAACAAACATGCAGAGCTGTTGATTTCGAGATAATGTTCAGATGAACTTCTTAGTAGAGGTTGGGAAATAGTTTGCTCAAGGAATTTGGAGGGGTCAAGTTTTGCCCCCCCCCCCCCGCGCGCACGGTAGGCTACCGTACCCACGAAAATTCGATGGAAGACATGACGTGTTTTCTCGGTGCAATTAGTATCAGTGGTCCGGCTGATTGAAAATGGGGTTGCAAAGAGGCCGGATATTGGACATATTTGATTGTACAGTAGTCTTTGATCACCGCTAGATGTTCCCGTGCATTGATTACGCCACTCTCGATTCTTTCACCACTCACACTTGAATTATTTTTTCTTCGAAGACTGTGAATCACCCCGCGACATTCTAAGGTACGAGGTCGATGTCAACCTTCGACTCGCTACTGCAACATACCTCCCTCGGTTGATTGGTTACGCTGCGGGGGCGTGTGGAGGCGTGCGTATCGCTGGCGGCGACGGAGAGGCTCAGGTTTCGCTCGTTTTTCGAGCAACTCCCGCGCGGCGAACCAATTACGAAGAGAGTTACGAAATGAGCGCACATCCTTCCCCCCCACACACAACCTTGACGCCCGATGCCCCGCTCCCGCATACTATCGTTTGTTTGTGTTTCGCGTTTCAGGGAGTATTTGAGACGTGCGTGCCGTCGGTGATGCAGGAGCAGGCAGCGAGAGAGGCGCAGGCCTCAGCGGAGGAGCACCGGCGGCGGCTCGACAACCGGCAGCGGTTGAGAGAGCTGAGAATCAAACGTCTGCGCGCCAAGGTAAACACATGATACGACAGCTGGACTTGATGTTGTTGCTGTAGCTGTAGCTGTAGCTCTTGGTGGTGGAGGTGGTGGTGAAACGTTGTATCGTTTGTGCTTTGTTTTCATAGTGATAATAACCAATTATTGCTCCACTTGCTGGAGGGGCCTTTGACCCCGCCGAAAGTAACACCTCTGTGGAGGCGAAGGACGACCGCGACCCACCAAGAAAAATCTACAAAGCCGACAACATCGAAAACATGGCTGTGTCCTTTCTTTCCGGTGTGGCGCAGGCCTTGGGACAGACCGACGGACCACTCGCCACCACCAAAGGGCAGGGCGGACGTGAACCGGAGAGCGGAATCGTTGCGGCTCTTGCGGCTCTTACGGCCGGGGGAAATCAACAACGGTAGCACCATTGTCAACGATAACAGTCACAGCGACGAAATCAACAAGGACAAGGGGGCAGAGCAGGGGCTGCTCCTTTGTAGGGTTTGAGACAACACGAGTGATATTAAGAGTCTTTTGGTTTGGTTGCCCTCCTTCCTTTCATGGAAGTAGTGGACTTGGAATCGGTGGTGTGCTTCCTCGAGGGGTCAGGTGCACAACCAGGGCACACCCGCCACGGTCAAATTCTCGATTTTCCCAAGGGGGGTGGCCCCGAGCAATGGGTTGCTGTCGCGATTTCACTCCAGCGTATTGGGGAATGGTACGGAGAACGACACGCAGAACGGTACACAGAACGCGCGGTGCTCTTAGTAATCACGCGCGAGCAACTTTCACAAAGAAAACTGTTTAAGTTCTTCGCAAGGTGTATCTGCCTGACGCCAAATCACTTTCTAGTCCAAATCACTTTTCAGTCCAGCGCACATCTCTATTCACACCTACAGGAAAGGGGTTGTGCTCCTCCAGGGTCTGAACTACAGTACAAGTATAGGGAACCAAAACATAATGCACCAAGTCACCGATCTCTACTCGCCTCTGCATGATAGTGATCTATAAACTCGTCTAGATCGCCCCCCGAACTAACCCTTCTTGGTCGATCGTCACCACCACTATCGCCTTCTGTAGCCCGACTTTGTCCCCCATTATCTGTTTCCCTCCCCCGGCCAGCAGCAACAACAGCAGGCGATGATGTCTCCCTCCAATCACTTTCCCGACCGGCAACAACGGGCAGCCCAACAGCCCCTTGTTCGAACTTTGCGCGTGGTACAGTGGCGTCGGAAACACTGCCGCGACCTTTGCTCTCCGTGTTGCCGACACCGGTGCTATTGCTGAGGGCCTCTAGAATTTGGCCTAGCTTCGCTTCTACCCTTACCCTGTGGTCGTCCGCTTTCCGGATCATGTCCTGTCCGGGTGTGGATCCCACGTGCGCACGTGACAAGCAGCGAAAAAAACGGTCGCCACACCCTTTCGAATCCATTCGTGCTTCCTCCACACCATACATACTGTGGGTCAAATGTTTGCCTGAAAGTGTGCAAATTCCTGCGTGTCAAGAGTGTCCAGCGTCGCAGCATCTAGCGCCGTCTGTTCCGAGAACCGATCGAGGAAGCGGGGATAATGCTATCTGCGCACGTTCGGACCAACATTTTACTAGCGACGTCTGGCGCATCAGAACTGCAGAGGGCTGCATCGCGAAAAACGCCTCTACGTGGACAGACCTAGTTCACCCAATCATTGCTAGAGAAGATTGAATGTTAATCCGGTGGTGCTACCCCGCACTCGAGCCTTCCAAGACAGAGAGGTAGGTATAGTGATCAACGTACAGAGAGGAGCGATAGTCAACATGCAAAGTGATTGCCACTCGTTGGGTTTCGGTTCCCACTGTCAATACTGTGGCGGAATCTAGACCAAGTGATGTGAGGTTGTCGTGGACATGGTGCGCACATAGTCACGGCGGCTTCGGTCTCAAGACGTTCTTCATGATGGTCACGCCCTATCTTACCTCCAATCGATCGTGTCCCTTTTTCAGTCTCGTAAGGGCTTCAACGAAATCTCTGTCCGATTGATGTTGCTGTGGATATGACACATTTGCCGCAACACATGGCGGTCGGAAGGAGCCCTGTGGAATCATTCAGAGCCAGAAACCAGGCGAGGCGGGGGGGGGGGGGGGG